CCCCCCGGACCATATATGGCCTTAAATCGCTGTTCACTATTCCCATTAGTCCCCTCTCCCGCCCCCCCCTTTCCTGCTTACTATATAAATTAACGCTCTTCACTTCCGAATCATTGCAGCTACTGCTCTCTGTATTCGCAACGCGACTCACCTGCCCTGAAGATGGAGGCGATACGTTCCTCCGAAACGTCGGTGAAAACCAAGAATACAAGGCGCCAGATCGCAGAAGACGACTTTCTTCATAGTCATCGCCGTGAAAACCTCAACACTTACAATTTTGTAACTGTTTGCTCTATTCCCATATATATCATTTTTTTCCCCCTTGACACTACAGCCCCAGTGGGCCTAGGCCTACCTCCATGAACTCCGTTCACTTTGGTTTTTCTAGATCTTACACATTCGGTAAGACTCCTTGGGCGGGTGATCAGCTCGTCGCAAGGCCTCTAGCTCTAGATAAACACAGAAAAACGCACACAAACATCCATGCCCTGAGTGGGATTCGAACCCACGATCTCGGCTTCCGAGCGAGCGAAGACAGTGCATGCCTTAGACCGGCTACCGTGACCGGCATACATATCATTTAGCGGTGACAAAATAGACAACTTATGACATAAATATCAAGACAGTTTCACCATTCGCTAAGAACAAAAATACTATAATAAATTAATAATTAGTCAGTAAATATAAAAATAAGGAAGATATAAATTTATCGCTGTGTTTTATTCATTAACCACCACTTTATTAACAAGCATAGAAAGTGGAGATACAGCGCCACTTCTCTTGACTTCGGCACTGGATTGAAGTGAATAGTTAATTTCACGCTCCAGTCGATTTGTCCCCGGGAAAAAGCCCCCGGTTTCCACTGGATATAAGGCTCTATGTGCTCGGAAGCTGGTCTGGACTCTTTGGACTACCCATAAATTCCTGCTTCTGTTGGGAATCGAATCCCGTCTCTCCAGCCCCTATACCGTCTGAGTTATCCCGCCTCAGACCAGTTTGTTAGTAAGTTAGATTATTTTTTTCCTCTCACCTAATATCATTACAGTAATCAAATCACCGGCCGGTCACGGTAGCCGAGCGGTCTAAGGCATGCACTGTCTTCGCTCGCTCGGAAGCTGGGATTGTGGGTGCGAATCCCACTGAGGGCATGGATGTTTGTGTGCGTTTTTCTGTGTTTGTCTGCAGGTAGAGGCCTTGCGACGAGCTGATCACCCGCCCAAGGAGTCCTACCGTATGTGTAAGATCTAGAAAAACCGAAGTGACCGGAGGAGCTCATGGAGGTAGGCCTAGGCCCACTTGGGCTGTAGTGTCAAGGGAAAAAAATCAAATCACCATGATGAGATAATCGGTGATCCGACCGTTTTGGCGCAGGATCCATTACAGCAAGGAAATGCAAATGCCAGTGATCAATCCTTTGCAAGTGAGAGTCAGGCTGGCCATTGCCAATACATGACGTCATCAGCTATAAAATGCTTTATACAATTCACAATGCCGTTCCATTAGATTAAAATATTTTTATGTTTGTTTTATTATGTAGTTTATTTAACTATTCCGCCAATAAATAGATTATAAAACGATACTGTTACGATAATTGTAAACTGACAAATTAACGAAGTATTTGAAGAGAAGATGTAGTGACTTAGACTGGGACCACACGAGCGCACAAAATGCGTCCGTTGTAGAAATAAACAAGAGAGGCGAATGCTACGCTTTCTTCTGGCTCCATTGCAGAAAAAAACTACGCACCGCATTCTGCAACTGTGTCCTCAACAACGTCAGTACGTTCGTTACAACGGACTCATTTTGTGCGCTTGTGTGGCCCCAGCCCCTTTTTTTTATTATTATTGCTAGTGGGGTGGGACTAAGTCCCTTGTACTGCGGCTACTTCTGTCCTATTGTACCTGCCCCAGATGATAGGTGAGGGTGATTGTGGAGCAATTGGTGGAATGAAGACTGGCAGGGGAAACAGAAGTACTCGGAGAAAAGCTGCCCGGGTGTCACTTTGTCCACCACAAACCCCACTTGACCAGACCCTGAATCGAACCCGGGCCGCCGCGGTGGGAAGCCAGCGACTAACCGCTTGAGCTATGGTGCGGTCTGGCCTCAGCCTTAATGAAGGTACTTTCCCGGCATTTGCCTTTAGGGACAGAGGAAAGAGAACCACAAAATTTCCTCAGTTAGGATAGCGTATGTTCTGGGCCGA